GAAATCTGTGCATAAATAATAGAATGCCAAATTCTGTTTTTTTTTGGATATGTGACATTTATATATCAGCTAGTCAATGGCAAATCTACACTTCAACTTGTGACATCTAAATATCAACCAATCAATGGTAAATTCATATTTCAACTAAACGCTGATACACAGTTTTGATCTAATTAATATCTACAGATTATAAAACAATATGCCTCCCAAAAAAGAAAAAGAAAAGGAGAAAAACAGCAATACAGCTATAGATAAGCCTAAAGGTGCTAATATTTTTTATTCACCTAAACTTCAAGAAAGAAACGCCTTGAGTAGATTATCTCATGGAGAACGAAGGGAATCTATATCTTTAGCTCAAGAACAAATCCAAACATCTCCACAGGAGGTAACTTTACAAACACTGAACGATGCATTGGAAAATCTATATACTAAATTGAAACAGGATGCAGAAGATAATTCCAGAATATTAAAAGAAGAGATTTCAAATTTATCTTTAAATCTCCAAATACAAGCGGACACTCTCAGGCAACTACAAATTAACAACGACGAACTGACTAGGAAATGTAACTATCTGGAGGGAAAAATTTCAACCATAGAAATAAAAATGGGTGATTTAGAAGACCGTTCAAGGAGGAACAACATCAAAGTAAGAGGGATTTCAGAAAATATCAAATTTGATCAATTGGAACAATATTTAAAAACCCTCTTCCAAAAACTGACTCCTGACTGCCCTTTAGGAGATCTACCATTTGAGAGATTCCATAGATTAACTAAACCAAAACATCTGTCTTCTAATGTGCCCAGAGATACAATTGTATGCTTTTCCAATAACCAAGTGAAGAATAGGATTATGCAAGCTATGCAGAATAAAGGATTTGATGATCCCGGACTCAAGGATATAAAATTATATTCGGATTTATCTATGATGACTCGTCAGACAAGGAAGAAATTTGCTACTCAGACTGCCATCTTAAGAACTCACGGGATCAAATATAAATGGAACTTTCCAACGGCTCTCCAAGTATACTATCAAGATCAACAATTCTCCATAAAGAATGTAGAAGAAGCACAACAGTTTATATCGACATGGAAGTTAATATAGAACAATAGAGTTTAATGTTGACTTCCTCCTATCCTCCTATCCCCCGCTCCCTTCCCTCTCCCTCTCCCCCCCCCTTTTTTTTTTTTTTCTCTCCCCTTCTCTCCCCTCTTTTCTTTCGTAAAGGAGGACGGAGGTGAGATGGAAGGGAGGGATGAAGAATTATTAGGTATTAGGTATTATTAGAGGGATATTTTTATAATATAAGGACTTAATATTTGATAAGTAACTAAATTTTATAACGAAACACTAAAATTAATTATATTATAAATCCTAAACATTAGAGATATATACCAATATTTATAATATAATGGATATAATGATATGAGTGAAATAACTAATCTACCTATGTGAATTGGGGTTAACAATTACCTCTCTAATATTTGATCACTATAACAATAATTGACAACACTTAATGTACAAAGAAAAGTCACTAAGATAGGTAATATATAAGGAAATTAACGAAATAATTTACACACTTATGAAAATTGGGGTTAAGAATAACCCTCTCAAAATAGGATCACTTTATTAATAAACAATAACACTAATTGCACAAGGGAAGGTAAAGGGAGGGGGGAAGGGGAGGGGAGAGGAGGAGAGGGAAGCGGGGAGGAGAAGGGGGAAGAGGTTGAAGTTGTACAAGCTAGTAATTGGATGTCCTGTGTATATATATATGAAGTTGTACAAGCTAGTAATTGGATGTCCTGTGTATATATATATGTAAATTTTTTTATTTTTTTATTTTTTTTGAAGTAATATTGGTAAATGAGATGGAACAATCTATTTAACGGATATTGAATTATAACATCTTAAATTTGACATAGGGAGATGTGGAGAGGATAAGAGAGGGGAAAGGATATATATTAAGGTATCTTACTTTGTCTGGTCAATAATAATAGACATAGATCATTGATATGATAATAGAGCGATCTACTTATACCCATGATCATATGCCTAAATGTTTATTAAGAGGGGAACCTAACAATTATCATAAGATCAGTAACTAGAACTAATAATTTTATTTCTAAATTTATTTAGTTCATATTGATATATGTATATACATAGAGAAGGCTAGGGATGGAGAGGAAGGAGATAGAGAGAAAAGGAAAAGTAATCATAGCCTATATATAAATGTTGTATTGATAAGAACTAACAAATGTCTTGGGGGTGAGAAAATGCTGGCTAAAGCTTAAAATCTGTCTATGGCTTAATGTCTCTTATATTCTTCTATGGAACCATATTCCCCTGCATATTAAGGCAGGCTAGTCCAAGAGTTACATGGGAATGATCTCCTCTTGGATTATTAAAGGCGGGAGGAACTCCCCCCTTATTGTTTTATTTGTTCACAACTTTTTTTTTTTTTTTGAGACTCGGTTTGGGATGGGAGGGGGACTTTTGGATCAGGGATGTCCCTTAAAATAATTACTTGGAATGTCCAGGGTATGAACTCACCTCAAAAAAGGAGAGCTGTATACAAATTTTTAATTGAAAATTCAATTGATGTAGCTTTTATCCAGGAGACCCATTGGATTGATACTCCTGATAGACTATGGAAATATAAAAAATTCCCTACAGTTTACGCGGCAAATTTAGAAGGTAACAAGAAAAAAAGGGGAACGGCTATCATTATTTCCAATCGATTTAGTCTTGAAGTTATTCACTCAATAACTGATAAAAATGGTAGATATCAGGTTTTAATTATAAAAATCAATGGTCTCACATTTACCTTTGTAAATATTTATGCCCCGAATTATAATCCATCAGCTCTCCTAGATCAAATTATGGATACTGTAGATGAAGTTGCCTGTGGTAATATTATAATGGGAGGAGATTTTAATAGCGTTGTTAATTTAACTAAAGATAGAAGTCATAAATATTCTGGGAATGATAGTACTTGTAATATAGGATCATCAGGTTTATCCGATTTTTCAGCCAAAAATTCCACGTTTGACTGCTGGCGAACTTTGAATCCTCAGGAAAGAGATTACACATTTTTTTCGCATGTACACCAAACCTATTCTCGTATTGATATGTTTTTAGTGAAAGAAAGTGTCTTAATTAATATTATAGAATCTACAATTGATTCTATAGAGATTTCGGATCATGCTCCAGTTTCCTTGAGAATTAAGTTGAAAGAAGGAAGTATTCCAAGGACTAAGTGGAGGCTTAATGAAAGCCTTTTGAAAGCTGAATATATCAAGGACCAAATAAAAAGAGAATTAGAAAATTTCTTAGAAACTAATTATAATGGAGAAGTCGCAACATCAATTGTAGGGTGCACTTTAAAAAGCTATATAAGAGGATTACTAATAAAGTTTGGTTCCGAAAATAAACGGAAGAAAGGTGAATCACTACATGTCCTGAGGATTAAATTAGCGAAATTGGAACGGCTAAATAAAATATCAATAAACAGGGAACTAATAAATGAAATTAATAATATAAAGCTAGTTATTAGGGATAAAATATATGTGGAGATAGGCAAAAATCTATCCTTTCTTAAACAAAGATGGTATCATAATAATAATAAAATTAATAGGGATCTCTCTAACAAAATTAAGAATCAACATAGAGATAAATCTATAAAAAAATTGATGACTAAAGGAGGAAAGGTTGTAAATCTACCTAAAGATATAGCAGAGGCTTTTGCAACATTCTATAGCTCACTATATAATTTAGAGGAGGTTAAGGTAAGCAATGAAGAAATCGATAGATTTCTTAAGAACCTTGGACTTCCTAGGTTAAGTCTAGAGAAACTAGAATATATAAATGCTCCTTTTAGAGAATTGGAAATTGAAGAAGCGATCGAGAAATTAAAACCAAATAAGGCCCCTGGCCCAGACGGATTCTCTGCTATTTTTTATAAAACATATATGAAAACAATAACTCCAATTCTTTTAGATATGTTCTCGTCAATATCTAGTGATGCTCCATTCCCAAAAGAGATGATGTTAGCAACAATTATTCCGATTCCAAAGCCAGATAAGGATAATTTAGTAATCGCTAACTATAGACCAATATCACTTATAAATGTTGATATTAAAATATTCTCGGCTATTTTGGCCAATCGTTTAAAAGAAGTAATGGGAGATTTGATTAATTGGGATCAATCAGGATTTGTGAAAGGAAGAAGTACCTCCGATAATACTAGGAGGATTTTTAACATTATAAATAGAGTGAGCGGTCAACGGGGGGAAGCTGTTATCATCGCCCTGGATGCCGAGAAGGCCTTTGACAGAGTCAATTGGAGATTCTTGGACTCTGTCATGGGCCATTTCGGATTGGAGGGAGCATTTAGAAATAAAACCTTGTCTCTATATAGGAATTCCTCGGCAAGAATTAGCAGCCCATATTTTGATTCTGATCCTTTTGATATTAGGAATGGTACTAGGCAGGGCTGCCCGCTAGCTCCACTCCTATATATCCTTACAATCGAACCACTGGCTATGATGATAAGACAGAATGATAAGATAAAAGGAATAGATTTTCAAGAGGAACATATTAAGATATCTCTGTTTGCAGATGATGTCCTGCTTACCCTTGTTGACCCATTACTATCAATTCCATCGTTGC